GCCAGTTTTAAAAATCTTATACAGCAAAACTTTACAAACAGGAAACAGCTTTTTTAGGCATCTTTACCTGTTTCCCATGCATTGGGGAGGAAAAACAATTAAACTGTGTACTCGGGGAATTGATGCACTTAGATTTACAAATGTGGTCCTTACTTGGAATAAAATAAGAATTAGGATTAAAGATTCCTGTAGACGGAGCTAAATTAAGAAAGTGTGTAATCCAGTGTTACAGCATGGCTTTTGAATTCTGCCATGCTTAACTAAATTGTCAGACATGTTATATGTAACGAGCTGTGAAATGAAGAGGGTGAGGACTCTTGGAGTTGAGAGAAGCTGGAAATAACTGCAGAGCACTCCTGGAGACTTTACAGTCGAGCACTTCTCAGATCTTGTTGCAGAACTATTCTCGTTCATTCCAGCCCCGTGTTTTCTGACTGGAAAATGTGTAAACTTTATGCGGTCTCCAGAGTAATTCTCCAGTTAATTTAGATTGCCCCAAAGTTTATCCTTTAAATCCTGGCCTTGTTGACAGAAATCCGAAAAATCATATTACTGTTGTTATTAGCCAAGGTGTCTCCTGAGTGTGCTTAGTTTACTTATGTTTCCTTTCAGGAAGTAAATGCACTTGAATGTGAGATTCAGCTGCTGAACAACCTGCCCCATGAGAGAATTGTTCAATATTATGGCTGCTTGAGGGATCCCCTGGAAAGAACCCTCTCCATATTCATGGAGTACATGCCAGGGGTAAGCAAGAGAGCTCATTGTGGATGGTGATGGTGAGGTGGCAAGGCCTCCAGTGGATGAGTGTTGCAGGATCACACGCACGGGTGTTAAAACAGAAGGTAGTCTCTACAAGTTGCCACATCGCTCTACCTTCGCCCTGACTTCCGACTAAGGCTGCTCACCACCTCTGTTCAGGTGTTCAAGAAGTGTCAAATAAATGGACAGCCAAAGAGGATCAGCTAGATGAGGAACATCGGACTCTTGTCTACTGTGTTAATTGTTTATTAATTATACATTAGAATAGTTTAGGTAGATAATTCATTGACTGCATCTGATTGGGAATTTCCTGCACCAAAGCCTCCTTTGAAGACTTTCTAGTTTTTATACGCTCTGGAGAGACAGTGTCAGAAGTGTCATTTTTTTAAAGTGTTTTAATTTGTTTTCTTCCTGTCTTTGTAATGGTTTAAAACAAACATTATAAATATGTTGAACGAACTGCCCAAGCAATTAACACGAGGACATTTGATCCCAGGTTTCATCCTGCTAAATTTTAGACCTCAAATAACTTTAGTTTAATCTATCCTCTGCATCACCCTGTGTGGTCTTTGACTGTCTCTTATAAAGTAGTTGGGGTATAGGCAGAAAGTGTCTTGTTGAAGGACATTCCCAGTATCATTGCTTAACCATCAGCCCTCCAGAGAAATCTTGTTTAGAGGAGTAAGCACTTTTGTTTCTTGCAGTCTTTCTTTCCTTTGTCATGTCCTTGTGATAAGGTATTTAGCAGAATTAGCGGATTCATTGGAATCTGACAGGCTGCGCCGTGAACATTTCTGCTATGGCCTTGGAACGTGGGTCCTCTGGGCTGTCCACTGTACACCTTAGCGCCCAGGCCACCCCAGCCCCCTCACTTCTAGCATCCTTTTAAAGGCTTAATCTTCTCATTTTGATGGAGATGTAACTCTGGATCTACAGTAAGGTGATGCCGAAAAGTTCAGGCAGAACACTGCACCTCTTAAATGTCAGATCAAACTGGACTGTACAAAATCTGAAATAGAAATCTAGCTTTAGAGAGAGATTACTCAGGTTGGTAAAAACAATGTGGTGTTTAACGTTTTCTCTCTTTTGCTGTAGGGTTCTATCAAGGACCAGTTAAAAGAACACGGAGCGCTCACAGAGAATGTGACCCGAAAATACACCCGACAGATTCTGGAGGGAGTTCGCTACTTGCACAGAAATAGGATTGTACATAGAGATATTAAAGGTAATGAAGAAGTCTGAGTTCTGCGTTCATTACAGGGCTATTGGTTGTAACACTTTTGGTCTTAGGACTTAGGCAGGGAAGGTTCTTTGGGTAAATCCGATGCCTTTTTCTAGACCAATTAAAATAGTTGGAAAATTCTTTTTTACAGCTTTCTGGTACAAACACCCTTCATCAGGCTGTTTGGGGAATATACAGGATTATACAGCTTTTAAATGATGGCATCTACAGAGCAGCGACTGAGATTAAATATGGCAGCATACATATCTGACATAGTTTCAGGCTCTCTTCTGACACACCTTGGTGACACACAGCTCTGCTTGGCTTGCACTTCTGAGGTTTCCTGTGGAACCAAAGCTAGAAACCTTTTCCTAAATGAAATATTTATTTATAAGATTTCAAAACAAAATGCTATGGCAGGGGAGCAAATTCTGTGAGCATGGATTCCACAGGGTCCTGATTATAATAAATTAGTGAAACCCAGTATGTTTTGCTACCATGTACTCCAATAGAGTTCAGGAGCCGTTAATAAGATACATATAATGATTGGTCGAATTTCTTCCCTCCCCCCCCCTTTCAGGAGCAAATATTCTGCGAGATTCAGCAGGCAATGTGAAGCTTGCAGATTTTGGTACCAGCAAACGACTTCAGACTATCTGCCTTTCTGGTACGGGAATGAAGTCATTCACAGGGACTCTATACTGGATGAGTCCTGAAATTATCCGTGGAGAAGGGTATGGCAGAAAAGCAGATATCTGGTACGTTCCCATCTACCAAGAGGTATTCGCATACTGCCCCAGATAAAGGGTGGTTCCCAACTGAATTAGCGTTCGGTATTTTTGCTGGAGTGCTCTAGTTATGGTTCTCTGGTAGCATATGAAAATACTGTTTGGGTAACAAAGGATGTACTGGGAAAAGCTGATGTCGAATGGTTTGTTTTTGGTATATTAGTGACTGTGCTCATTGATTTAGAGATCCCAGTGAGCCAAGCTCAGATAGCAGGAGGCCCACCATATATTTGTAAATACTGCAGGGGCATTGGTTAAAGGGGCATAAGAAGAAATTGAGATTTGACCATTAATGGCAATTACTATGACAGTACTAGTCCAAACCATGTGGTGACTGCTGTCATATTGAGAAGGTTCAGAGTCTCAACTGGTGTAAATTCTTTGCTTCTTCCTCCTTTTCCTTAAACCTGTTGTTTTAATAGCATGAGTCACCTGTTTCAGTCTATCCAGTTGTTTCTCAGCACAAAAGGATCAGCCAGATTTATACCTAAGCTTTTATTTTTTTTTTAAAGTAGTTGCAGCATTCAGAGCAGTTTGATGCATTTTGATCCTTACTATTTTTTTTAAATACAACTGACCTAGTAGCAAGTAGATTTCTCTATGGTTTGCTGATACTCAAAAATGCTAACGTGTGAAATGATTATATGAACCTTATTCCTCCCCAAGATGCTTGGGATGCAAAATACACAGTGAAGTACAATATCTTAAATCAAACTCCTCCATTTTGCATTGTTATTCAGATACTTATAACAAATATTTAGCTTCCAGGGCTTGTAGAAAAGAGTTGCCGTGTATATACAGACAGCTTTCCTGTACTACAGAGTTTAGAAATCAGCCTTTGCATAAAATTAAGCTGTTGATTTTTAAGGTCTACCCTTTCTTGCAATCTCTGATAATGACCTGGCTGCCACAGAAGTCCTTTGCCCTTAGGTAAGCGGGGAGGGTGAGTACTTACTGGAATGTGTTTTGCATATATAGTGTTCAGCATTGAAGAGCTTTTTAATAAATTGCAGTAAACACTGGCATGTTGAATGCCGTAGTGTTAAATAATATACTGTTAAAAGAAACAAAGCAGCAAGGACACTTTCAATTCAAACAAACCAATCAGATGTATATGTTCTAACTAGTCTTCTCTGGGCCAGGAACCATTAAATACAATTCTTTTGATCCCACCCCAAGGTGCACAGCAGGTCTTCAGAGGTAGAGTTCTTGGGTTGCGTAGTGTTCCTACCAGCTAGCCAAACTCTGAATGTGAACTAGTTGCTGATGGCACTGACACTAGACTCTGAAACTGCCCCTGAAATTCAGATTTAATTCCAGCTCTAAACCTTACTGGAAAGTAAGACGGCAGCCTGCTGTCTAGGTAAACATCCCCTGCTGAGGTGATGGTTGTTGGGTTAGTTGGTAGGTGGAGCAGAATATATGCTGTGATCTTCTGTGTGTTGTGTGACCTTGCCATACAGCGTGCGGACATTGTGTACAAGAATGGGGAATCAGTGT